CTCGGGCGGGCACCCCGTCAGCCACCGGCACATCCCCTCCACCAGCCACCGTCCCCCGCCGGCGGCGGCAAATACGACGTCCGGCAAAGCCCGGCGACGGCTGTCGGCGGCGGGATCCGTCCCGCGCGCGTGCTGCCCCTGATGCCCACCCTCTTCCGCGTCAAGCCCTGCCAGATATGGGCTCGGGCTTCCTTTCGGTCGTTCCCCTGGTGTCGGTCGTCACCATCCCTTCAGATCCGGTTGGTGCGCCGTTGTCTGCGGGCTCCCGGCGCCCTCGGGCGGCTGTGGGGGCCGGTCCTCGTGGCTGCCTCGGCGGAGGTCCCATCCGCCGTTTCTGCTGCTTCGGGCGCTGCACCCCGTCCCCTGCTCTGCGTCCTTGCGTCGGGCTCCGCCGCCTTCCGCCCTCATCCGCTTGTCGTCGCCGACTGCTGTTCTGCCGCCACGTCTCCCACCTCCACCGCCCCCTGTTCCATCGTCGTGGTGCTTCTACGCGTGCTTGCCAACGAAGGTGGCGTCGTGGCTCCTGTGGCTCTGGAGCCCTCCACCTCCCAGTTCCCCCCTATGGGCTGCCGCTGTTCGTGGCTTTTCCGCTGGGGGCGCCGCACCGGTGGTCCTCACTGGTGCCCTCGTCGTCAAGGGTGCCTGCCGGCGTCGCTCCACCGGTTGGATTCACCTGGATCTGGGGCCGCCATTTCAGTGCTACCCGACGCTATTGGCGGTTGCTCTGTGACTTGTCGCGTGGCAGACGTGACCGGGGATGGGGAGAAATCCTTGGTCAAGCCTTCTGCTGGCCGAGACAGCGACGACGCTTCCCCTCGTTTCCATCTTGATGGCGTTGTCTTCATCCCCGGTCTTGTGATGTTTTGGGTGTGCTATGCGGAGTTCTATGCTTGGTGATGCCCTTCGACTACGCCGGTGGCACACAGGTGATGTGGCGTCGTCTCAGCCCGGCGTGACCATTCGAATGTACCCCATGACACAGGTGGTGTCGCGGCGTTGTGCAGTCTTGGTTGCCCGGTGCTTTTCGATTGCGTCGACGGCACAGTGTCATGGTTTAGTCTCGGCTCGTAGCTGCAGTTTGAGCGCCCGTGGTGCCCCTTGTTGTGATGTTTTGTGTGTGCTCTGTGGCGTTCTATGCCTGGCGATGCCCTCCGACTATGCCGGTGGCACACAGGTGTCGTGGCGTCGTCTCGGCCCGGCGTGACCGTTCGAATGTACCCCATGACACAGGTGGTGTCGCGGTGTTGTGCAGTCTTAGTTGCCCGGTGCTTTTTGATGGCGTCGATGGTGCAGTGTCATGGTTTAGTCTCGGCTCGCAGCTGCAGTTCGAGCCCCCGTGGTGCCCCTCTGTTGTGTTGTGTCCCTCCTCGCCATGTGTTGTTTGTGTTTTTGCTTTATTTCTCTTTCCTGTGCCCCCTGTACTTCTGGTTCACTTGAATCCTATCTTGTATTAGGATGCAAAGTCTATAGGCAACAAATGAATATAATTCAGATGGGGAGGATTTCTTCTCCCCCCGATGAAAATTCAAAAATAAAAACAAGTCTGCATCGGTGGCTAAATTTCTTGATGTTACCATTGCCGGCAAGAGCAATGGTGACGCAACGACGACGAGTTCAGTTGCGGCTTTGACAAGAATTTTGAGTCATGTGGTGTTGCTTGTATCTCCCTTCGTTTAGGGTCATTTATGTGCGTCTTTAGGTTCCTTAAGTCTTTAGGTTCCTTAATACTTCCTTCGTCTTAAAATTTTTGTCTTAAATTAATCTAGATATGAATGTATTCAATACTAAAACGTGACTTGATACATTCGTATTTAAACAAATTTAAGACAAAAACTTTGGGATGAAGGGAGTAGTAATATAATCCAAATTTGAGTTTTTTAAGAGCACGTCCTGAACGAAGGGAGATACAACCAATAATATAATCCAAATGGCAAATTTCTCTATAATAGACCCGGGTCTTTTTTCGTAAAAAAATAGAAAATAAAGTAAAAATCAACTGACGCTTGCTAGGTTTGCAAGGTTCTTCCATGGTGAATTAGTTTTTTTATTATCAGTCTTGCTGAGCAGAAAGTGTAAACTTAACAAGATGGTAGTATCATTTATTTATAATCGTAAAATGGTACACTGTTTCGAAAAGCACAGACTTGCTTATTACAAATGATCTTCCATATATAACACAGTCTCGCAAAAATAAAATAAAAAATATATATAACACACAGAGCAAGTAATTTCCCTCTGAAGTACGTAATTCTCTGTAAACCCAGAACGCTCCTGTTCTTAACAGGCACTTGGTAGCGGCTAAAACTTTGCAAGGGTTGGTGGTGCCCAAACATAGCCAAGAGTCGGCACGTACCCCATCCTCTTGCTCAACTCATCGGCCTCCGGAGGACCCCGGGTTCCCGGTTGGTATGGCAGAGCCTTGAGCCTGCCAGCATCGATGTCGTGCAACAAAGGAGTGAAGATCTCCCAGGCAGCCTGTTGAAACAGTGTCACGTTCCCAACAGAAATTCACCGCAAAAGAAGCACGGATATACATAAATGCTATGGTGTACAGACCTTGAGCTCATCTCGGCGAACAAAGTGCTGCTGGTCACCTCTTATCCTGCCAAGACATACATAGAGGTATCGGTGAGTAGATTCAGAGGAAGAATGTTTGTTCTTTCAGACGTAAGGTGAGAATTTTTCAGGTTATATATTGATGGGTAAAGGGCATGCGGCGTGCAGAGAATTGAATGTGTTGACAAAGAATTTAGCAGAAGATGAAGGATGGACGGCACATACGTGTCCAAGATAAGACGCTCGTACGCTTCTGGGACTTTTACATCTTGGTACCGTAGCCCGTAGGATAAATCCAGTTCGCTCTGTTCTGTTGCCATTTCGAGCCCTGGTTTCTTTACCTGCCCAAAGTCATCAAGTTTGTGTCGACAAATATCAGTCGATAGCTACTGTATCTAGTTCTCAATTTTAGACAAGTAGTTGTACATACAGTTAATTTCATATACATGGCTTCCGATGGCTGCAGGCGTATGACAAATTCATTTCTTCCTTGTTTCTTGCCTGTACAAAGGTAAATAGCAACAAACACAGAGCTATTTTGATTCAATAGAAGAAAAATTCAACTTCGGTGCTAACAAGAGAATAAGATAATATTTTGAGACAAACAGGTTCATAACAATCAACAGTAGCGGAGATGATTTCGCACCATTTTAGTTGAGGCTTAATATTACCAAGGGGTTTAACTTTATCATTTGCGCAAATGATAAAGTTAAAATGACAGATTATCCCTAACAGTTCTAAAGAAACAAAATTCAACATTATGAAGCATTTCTTGAGCTCTTTTACACATGAGAAGATGATCAATTCTCGTCAGTACTAAACAGGCATAAGCAGGGTTAACCCATGTCAAAGAAACAATGATTATACAAATCAGTAAGGTCATACTGAAAGTACTCGACTTACCTGAATTTAGTGGCCTACTATGTAGCAACTCATCCCATGTTTATATATTGTGGCAACTTCTCTAGGTTCTGTGCTCATTTTACGGGTATCACGTCATTACACGTTTTAAGCAAGTACTCTTCATATCAACACATTGGGCATGTTCTACATTGCACAGATTTATAGTGGGGAGTTGAAGTATTCTCTTTAGTATGCATGGCTTTTGCAAGACCAAGCTTGATGATGGCACATTTGGAAGGAGAAAAGCATCAGTACATACATCTAAAAATATCGCCCGGAGCATCCTTGAACTGCACACGTATCTCTGCTTTCTTAGAGCTTAGTGCTTTACCAGCCTTAAGGACGAAAGGAACTCCTACAGCACAATTATTCAAATGTCAGTACTGAAAGATAAATACGGGGATCTGAAAATTCCCAAGTAGTTTATAATGCAGTTTCATTTTTTAACTACAAAACTGAAAGGTGTATTAGACGAAATCTTCGAATCCTAACAAGAAACCACATCGCAAATATTTCAGGAATGTGATGCAGGACTGATAATGTCGTAAGACTCTTTTGTCGCAAAAAGACAGACAGTTCAGATGGAAAAAAATGTGGATACTGGGTTAAGAAATATACTTGATGTGGTTTTTGAGCTTTAAAATAAATAACCAATCATGGAAGAAGTAAAATATACCATCCCATCTCTCATTGTGTACCCTCAGTACAACGGACGCAAAAGTAGGCGTGTTGGATTCATTTGGCACTGTCGGATCATCCTTGTAGCCATCATATTGCCCAAGGACTACCTCGTCATGGTTTATACAGCTCACTGATTGCAGAACCTGACAGTGTAAGATGAATTTACTTCTAAGAAATAGAAACAAGGAGTTCATACTTAGGTATCACACCAAAAGTCCAAAGGTAGATTTTCTATTAAGCAGGATATAATATGGAGTATAGTATGATTTAAGGAGATGCAAGAACCTTGACTTTCTCATCTCTTATGTGCTCAGGACTAAGAGAGACAGGCTTTTCCATGGCTACCAAACAAAAGACCTGCAAATGAGATTGATAGTCACTAAGCAGAGCTCTAAATTCCTGGAAAAAAAACAGTATTCTCTTTCGAGGAATTCTAACGCATGACAGGTAGCTACTCCCCCTGCTAAGAAAAATTAATATGAAAACTGTGATGCCATAGAGTGCTAATCAATCTGAATGACTGTGAGAGACATTCCCACAGTAAATAATTGCTACTATAGATTCATATGAGGACAATTTACCTGCAGCAAATGGTTCTGAATGATATCCCGAATGATACTGTAGCAACAAATTTGAGGTCAGATATTCAATTTGCTACAACAGGAATACCAATACATAATATAAACACTAGATCCAGCAAGGTTTTGTCTTGCATCTGTTAACAAATATGCCAGACTAATGCACCTGAATGGACTTTGAGTTCCGAAAATATTGGTGTTCTGTAAAAGAAATGTGCCGTTGGCTGTGTGGGCCTTTATTAATTTAAAGCCAAACTCATGTGAGCCTTCTGTTTAAAGAAAGAAATGCGCAACTCGAGCTTATGAAATGCAGAGCTGTACATGAAAAATATATTTATTGTGACATTGTGCACCATTAAAATTTACAATATATAGAAGAGATACTTTGCATCATAGTTTCAGCTTAAAGTATATGTGCTTGAAATAAAATGCACTCAGCATAAGAACTTCCTTGGAAAAGTTAAATTTACAACATACCCATATTGATCAAAATATCCTCCACGTCCATCAGTTCCGAAGTCCTCCCGGAATACAATCTGCAAGATAGGTTTATTACATGCAAGCACATACTGTTGTGACCATTATCAAAATGAAATGCTCCAACTATTCGAACATGAACTTATTTAGTTTTAGACAAACAGCAAAGGAAGATGTATGATATTATATAGATATAAACAAAATATACAAAGAAGCACGGCAAATGGAAGTGTCCTAACAACCTAAGATTGCACATTACCTGTACGTTATCTATGTTATCACGATTCCAGAGGGGCAGAAAAAAGCGGTTTGCAAAGCGAAGCACGAGCTGCAAATATATGACAAGTTGATAGCATGGAAAACATTTACAAAAGCAGAAAAAGATACACAGCTAACCAATAACACACAAATTACCAAGTTTTGGACCAACTCCTTTCCTAAATAGTGGTCAATTCTATATAGTTGTTCTTCATCGAAAAGCTCTCCAAGTTGGGCACTCAATTCCTCAGCAGAGTCTAAATCCTTTCCGAAGGGCTTTTCAACAATAACCCTTGTCCAACCAGTATGAGAGGCTGAAAGTAGAACACAGTGGTTACCACAAGTAAAGAGCATGGATCTAAAAATACTTAATTAACACATCCAAATAAATCATATACATATATTTTTTCAGTACTTTGAAGGGGTCAGCTTTTTTTCATTTAAAAGTAACTCACATGGAGTCATGCAATATGATCTTATCATTTTGCATACTGAGGGGTACACTGAAGGAGGTAATGCCAAATAAAATAGTCTTCGGGAGTTTCCTGGTTGGTTGTTCTCTGATGTTTCATTCTCAGAGATTGTCTTGTTTAGCACTTCAAATCCTTCCCCACTATCATATGAACCACTAACATACTTAATCTGCAAGGAAAACTCTTCATGGTTATATAAGTGAAATACCACACGTGCTATGCATAATATCAGCAACTCACTAATTGCAAAAATTGTGAAAGATGTTCATCTGAAGCTCCTTTGAGATATCTGTAACAATACAAGGATGACATCAAAACGCATTTTTTTTGGAACAGCACTTTCATCATATATAAAAATGGAGGAAACACCATCCTCATACAAATCGCACCAATTTATTTGTACACAAAATTATTATATTAACTCCAGGAATGTGGATCTTACCCACGAATGCGTTCTCTTAACCCGTCGTCAGACATATCTGATCTTGCATACCCAAATATATGGACTTCTCCAGATTGTATAAATCCCTGTCTTATCAGAGAGCAATATTCAGCCAATATGTGCCAAGCTGGGAAGACATTATGTACATGACATGAAGTACATTATACAATGATGTTCAATTATTTCTTTAATATAGTCATGTACGGTTTACATTTGGGTGCAAGTTAACTAACTCAAGATAGATTACCTTGTGCACTAGTTTATCCCGTTTGAAGGGCAACTATTGCAAAGTTATGATGGATTACCTGTTGAAAAAGGTTGAAGAGTGCTGGAAAAGTTTTCTTTTTAGCAAGGTCCCCAGAAGCACCTAGTACAACAATGGACAAGCAGCCAGACTCTGAAGAAAGATCCAAGTCCTTCAAGTCTGACAAAGAACTCGTGCTAATTCGTCCTGATGATGGTGAAGATACATCCGATCCTCCTGACATGGTAGTCTAGTCTGTATGGTTTCTCTGTCCTTTCAAGATAACCTAAGAATGGAGAGGTACACTTAATCTCAAGATGTATGAGCTCTTCAGCTACATAACTTTGATCAATGCCAAGTTATTAATCAAGCAAAATGCCTCTTCACTGATTGACAGGTCCAAATGAAATTTTGCAACAAGAGAAAAAAAAAAGGACAGGGAACTAAAGTTGAAGGCCATCATAGAATAAAATAACTTAAACTGAACCTTGCTGTTCAACCATTGGCTACCGGTTGCCAAACTGAGAATGCAACATCTGAAACACAATCCCAGAGAAGTTTGTTGTAGTAGCGTGTTCATTAACTAATAACCACGGATATGCTTCAAGAAAAAACATGGATGTGCTAGTGCTGCTATGAGATTCTACTTCTAGTCAAGTTAAAAATTACTGTCTGTGCAAGTAACTAACTGCATTGAACATGGCTCCCCCATATGCGTGAACATAACAATTGCGACTTCAGATCTGTTGCATACACAAAAAAAATCTCACTTGTAGAACCTTGAAACGGCAAGCGTTTCATATAAAGAAAATAAAATGTAATGGCCCTGTTTATGAGTAAAACCGGGCCGACAAGAGTTTAAAAAATATCTGTGTTCAGAGGAGGAAAAGGGAAACATGATGTTATCCTATTTGGAGCAGTTAAAAATCCCCGCCCCAACTCAGAATTATGGAACGACTAATTGAGCAGCCTAGCGGTAAGTCCAAGAACAAAAAATGCAAACAAAAATTAAACCGGCGACGAGACCTATCCCATCCCGAACCGCAACGCATAACTTCCTTCCTTGGGGACGGGAAGCAGAGCCGGCCGGTGACTCAGACCCAACAAGAGGAATCGTTGTGGTCGGCAGCTGTGCGATCGAGAGGAGGATGAGAAAACTGACCAGTGAACACTGGAGAGACGATGGGGCTTGACTTGGGGAGGAGGCGGCGGTGCCGGTGGGATGGGAATATTTTGCTTTGCTTTGGGTGGGAATTATATGGCTTTCCTTTCTCGCCGCCGCTTTTATACTCAGCTCGCCCTCGGCTGCTTCCACTCCCCTTTAACCGCTGGCTGAACCTTCTTCCACCACATCCACTGATCCACATCCTGTTCTGTTTCTCTTTTCTTCTAATTCAATAAAAACAGAGGGAGTATTCAATATTTTTCTCAAATAAAAGCATCTCTAACCGATCTCTGTTCTATTTGTCTTTAAGGGGTTATGTCTGACCTAGCCGATCTCTCGAAATCCTTAAAGGAGTATAATTTTTACTCATCGCATTTTAGCCACTTATATTTACTCGACCAATGGTACTTCTCAAGAGACCCCCCCCCCCTCTCTCTCTCCCTCGCTCGACCGCATCCACTCCGACGTGGCTGTCCTTGCCTCCACGGTCTCCACGCGCCGCCGCATTAGTCTTCCTATTAGATTCTATTAGGAGAACTCAAATGGCGGAACGGGCTATCCTTAGTAATTGACACATTATCAGTTTTAACGTCTTGGGAGACATGGTTATCAGGAGACTTTTCATAAGTAATGGTGAATTCATCATCTATTAGGATCTTAGCATTTTCAAGACAATCTTCTTTAAAACCCTCTTTATTCCCTTTTACAATCCAAGAAAATTGATCCATTAAACACTTGTTGGATTAGATGTAAAAAGAGGAACTTTCTTTTTAGCATTTTCCACAAAAGTATGAGGATCACAAGACATATATCTCCTCATAAAATCTCTATCATATAAAATTTCATCTATCATAGGACATTCATAATTCACATTATAAAAGTCATAGATTTCTCTAGCTTCTCGCACTATATAATCAAATTCATTCATGAGAATAAGAGCGGTTATCTTTTTAGCCCTAGGATTGTTTATGACAAGTAGCTCAAAAAACAATCTTTGCAGAGTAGGATGAGTACGCATGAATCTTTTTTTAAGTTTAATGATGAGTGCAGAGATAGCTTAGGCATAACTATTGGTTCTTTTAAGAATAGGAATATCATTACATACCAATGTTCCCTTACAAGTAAAGAACTCTTCAATAACACGTTTTTCTATAATATTCCCACTCCCCGTCACAAAAGTTTTAGTATCCAAATTTACGGGAGTCTCCATCTTAGGAGTTTTACTATCCTTACTTTCACTCTTAACGATAACAAATTCAGACATGATAGCAACCTCAAGCAAAGCAAGTGAACGAGCAAACTAACAAAGCAAATATTTTTTGTTTTTTTTAATTTTTATAAGAAGTGGGGGGAGATGAAAACGAGAGGCGAAGGCAAATAAAAAGTAGAACAAGTAGATGATAGTTTGTGTAGGGGTACTTGATAGGTTTTGATAATGTCTCCCCGGCAACGACGCTAGAAATTCTTTCTGCTACTTGTGAGCTGCATTGAGATTTTTCCCGAAGAGAAAGGGAGATATAGTACAATAGAGATAAGTATTTTCCTCAATGAGAGCCAAGGTTTATCAAATCAATAGGAGAATCATGCAAAGCCTCGTGAACATTACATGCACACACAAAAGCAAATATGTGCACCCAACGCGGGCAAGAGGGTTGTCAATCCCTTGAACTTGTTACTTGCAAGGATCAAATCTTGTGTATGTAGATGGATACATTGCAAATAAAATAAAATAAGTAAAATTGTAGCAAAGGAATTTAAGTTTTGGTAATATGATTAAGGTAGACCCGGGGGTTATAGTTTTCACTAGAGTCTTCTCTTTCAAACACATAGCATATGGTGGGTGAACAAATTACTGTTGGACAACTGATAGAAAAACGCATAGTTATGACGATATCCAAGACAATGGTCATGTATATAGGCATCATGTCCGAGACAAGTAGACCGACTCCTGTCTGCGTCTACTACTATTACTCCACCAATCGACCGCCATCCAACATGCATCTACGGTATTAAGTTCATGAAAAAATGGAGTTACGCCTTAAGCAAGATGACATGATGTAGACAAAGTAAACTCAATCAATATGAATAAACCGCATCGTTTTAATCTTAATAACAACAATGCAAATACGTGTCTTGTCCCCTTCGGTCACGGGGATATAGAGCAATGCACGATCGAACCCATCACAAAGCACCCCCCCCCCCTCATTGCAAAATAAATCAATCTAGTTGGCCAAACCAAACAGATAGATCGGAGAGAAATATAAAGCTATAACAATCATGCATAATAAAGTTCAGAAAAGACTCAATTAATTCTCATGGATATTCAGATCATAAACCCATAATTCATCGGATCCCAACAAACACACCGCGAAAGAAGATTACATCAGATAGAACTCCAAGAACATCGAGGAGAACATGGTATTGAAGATCAAAGAGAGAGAATAAGCCATCTAACGTATTTATGCTAGAATTGGGGATAAATTTTACTGGAACCAGCACATTTTTTGCTGCTGCCAACAAACAATGGAGTTTTTTTTGGCTGGGAATTTTTATGCCGGGGAGCATGGTGGTGCGTATAGACAACGGCGACGAGAGGAGGTGGGGTGACGCAGGGATGCTGCAACCACGGCTAGTATAGCAACAAATTCGAAACCCTTCACCATCAAATTTTGTTGGTGGATCCTAATACTCATGAGGTGTTGTTCGTCGAGCGTTACATTGCAGGATTGCATCCCGAAATTTGTATAGCAGTTGTTTTGCATCGTCGAGAAGATGTTGATACTACTAGTTGTTTTGCTCTTTTGTAGGAAGAGAAGTTGGAGAACTACAAGCTTCAGGCATCTCTCAAGCATTCACCTCACTCTTCCTCCAAACATATTACATATGCTGACAAGGCGAAGGCTCCAGCAATTTCTGACAATTTCCGCAAGATGTCCAAAAAACGTGGAGCGATGCGTGCATAACGCAAGTCAAAGAATCTCTGTTTCACATGTGGTGACCCATGGGCACGGGTCACAAATGTCCTGATAAAGTATCGATTCACGTTATGAAAGAACTATTGGAAGCACTGTATCTCGAAGAATCTTCTGTTCCGCATCATCTCACTGATTAATTCTAGTTCAGATGAAGAGCTTATGGTTATGACCAAGGAAGTAGCCACAGTTGTCCCGACGCATTGTAACACCCCGTATGTAACCTGCCATATTTGTATTCCAACTCTTGCCATTTCCGACACTAAGTTATGTTATTTCCTCGTTGTCGGGTTTTTGTCTTCGTGTTGCTTTTGTCTTTGTCATGCATCTCATATCATGTTATCATGTGCATCGCATTTGCATACATGTTCGTCTCATGCATCCGAGCATTTTTCCCGTTGTCCGTTTTGCATTCCAGCGCTCCTATGTCCTCCGGTGTCCCTTTCTACCTCTTTTCGTGTGCGGGTATTAAAAGTTATCGGATTGGACCGAGACTTGCCAAGCGGCCTTGGTTTACTAACGGTAGACCGTCTGTCAAGTTTCGTGCCATTTGAACTTCGTTTGATACTCCAACGGTTAACCGAGGGACCGTAAAGGCCTCGTGTGTGTTGCAGCCCAATACCTCCCAAAGTGGCCCAAAACCCACCTAAACCCCCTCCATCATCTAGGTTGTTTGATCACGATCGCGTGTCCGCAAACCATGCTCAATTTGGAGCCTCCTAGCTCCCTCTACCTATATATAGACCCCCCTCCAAAATCTCGCGGATGAACCCTAACCATTTTCCCTCTCCGCCGCCAGACAATTCCTCTCACCGACGGACACGTCCGCTCCGCCCGCCGCCGCCATGTGGCAGCGTCCCATTCGCCGCCGACCGCGCCCACTTCACCATGCCGCCGGGCCCGCGGGGCCCATCGCCGGCCCACCCCCGGGCCGCTCTGGGCTGCGCCCCGCGCCGCCGCCCTGCGCCTCGCCCGACCGCGCCGCCCCGTCTCCTCCCCCGCGCTGGCGAGCCTCCGCTCCGGCCGCCGCCCGCCATCGCCAGTCGCCGCCGTTCGCCGCCAGCAACCGCGGGCGACCTCGCCGGTCACCGTCGACACCGGCAATCG